GTTATAAACATTAATCTTAATATGGTTCTTAAAGCAGTCCTCCACAGAAGGTGAAGGTATTGGTGTTTCTATGGATGCAGAATCTGAGATTCAGCAAGGTCACATAACTTGCTCAAAGTCAAAGAGTACAGAATTTTAACCTAGGGCAAACTGGCCACAAAGCTATCACACTGCTATGCTGCCTGCTCATTATCCAATCCTGGCTTTGCCTAAGAAAACTTGTAAGTTTTTTATTTTGAGAATAAATGGTAAGGGAGCTGGAATGAAATGTGCCCAAATATCCACTAATACTTTAGTTATGCCACAGTGTCTAGATATCATTTCTCCAAGTTAAGAGTTCTAGATTGAGGAAATCACGACTCTTGTTCTTGGTTTCCTTTTTGTTATTCCTTGAATAATCACAGGTTTTTCATTAATATATTTTATTATGTTAAAAAAAAAAGCTAGTCCTCTTCTCTGGTAAAAGTACATGTTTCTTGTAGAAAATACAGTTACACCCAAAAAAGATAAGACTTCCCAAACTACCTACCAGAAGCTGCCTCACAATGCGGGCACTGGATTTGGACTGCTGGGGTATGAATCCTGCTCTGCGACTTCCCATTTGGGAGACCTCTTTCTGGTCTGTGAAGTTGGAAAAATCTACTTCATTAGGGTTGTTAAGATTAAATGAGTTCCCAGTTTCAAAATGCCCAGAAATGACTAAGAGATGCTTAACATTTTAATAACCTTCTGGTCTTCCTCTCTGAGTCTGTGTGTACATGTGTAATATCTGCTAGTGTGTCCATATTTCTAAACAGGAAGTATTTTTTAAACCAACCACTTGTCATCAGATAATATGTTTGATCCCTTTCTTACCTGTAAATAGTCTTCTCCATTCCTTGACAGCTGCCTACGATGCAGGATGTGATGGCTTGAATCTAACTGAACCTGTACTGTTGGATGTACAGATTTCCAGTTTTGCAATGACATAATACATTCTAAGACAAACTAGTATAGTTGTTGTGCCATGAACGTTGTCTCTAGGTGGTAGCAGCTTCTGGCTCTTTTCAGAGCATACCTTCCCCTGGTGCCAGGAAGGATTAGGAATACTCCCTTTAGAGGTCAGAACCTGCCAGCACTGTGGATTCATAAGCAGCCCTAAGTGGAGGAACTCAGGCCTTTAAATCTGGAAAAACCTTTGTTTTTGAGATTAGTATCTCTGCTGTGGATGATTTCTTGGTTCCCTGTCTTGGTTACTTTTCTCTCGTTGCTGAGACAAAATACCCAATGCCCAAAATGAAGGAAGGAGAGGTTTATTTAGCTTACAGTTTGTGGAGGTTTCAGTCCGTACTTGGCTGGCTCTGAGGCAGAAGATAGCAAAGCAACAAGAGCCAAGCGGGGGAATGGCAGCCGAACAGAATGGCGGCCAGCAGCCTCTTCCCCTCCCTTACATTGTAAACAGGCTACCCCCACCTAAGGGGCGTGTAGCTCTTACATAATCTCCATGCCCTCCTCTTCCACAGGCTCAGGATGTATACAAAGTAAGTACCCTGGCTTCCTGCTGAGTCACTTAGCCAAACCTCTAGACTCCCCAAGTTGACACAAGGTATCAACCTTAACATTCCCCATCAGAAAGTTCTTTTATTCAATGCTTGCCATTTCTGAAGTGCTCTCTAAGAAGCTGTCCCTAAAAGGGCTCAGAGGTGAAGCTCTGCTCATTGCTTCCCAGGCTGGATTCCTCAGCCCTCACTCTTCAGGGTGGAGAGCAGCAGTGAGACCTGTACCATGCTGTCCCCCTTCCCCTACCTTGCCATTTTAGCTTTATGAGTTTCTGGTGACACACTTCTTTCTTTTATTAGTGTAAAGTTCTTGCTGGATTCGGGTTGGCAAAAACATTGGTTCCTATTTAACCATACCCTTCCCCCACTGCCTTTCCCCATTGGCAAACCAAGAAGCTATGTATATGAACCTCTCCTTGCCTGTCCGCTTCTGTTTTTTTCAGTCTTTTTGGGACAGAGTCTCTCTATGCAGTTCAGGCTGGCCTTGAGCTCACCTTGTAGCCCAGGCTGGCCTCAAACTCGCAATGATCCTTCTGCCTCAGCCTCATGAGTGCTGGAATTACAGGTGTGCGCCAGTATGCCCAGCTCCGCTTCCTTTCTTCAAGTGTATTATAGACACTTGAAGGGATGTAACTGTCTATTGAGTATGACCTCTAGAAGGCAAAAGAGTGATAGCAAGAAGAGATGGGGGACGGTGATCTCTTGTGGGATGCCCTTCTGAAAGGCTAATGGCTTTAATCAGATATTTCTCCCATAGTCTATTAGAAGAAATCTGAGTGTTGGAAACCTGGCATTTTTAGTGGCATACCTTCTAAAGGAACTCAGCTATATTTCAAGACATATTGACTGACCAACTTCAAACAGTCATTTTCTCAGACATTTAAGGGAATGGTCTGGTTTTTCTTTTCTTTTTTCCATTCTAATCTAGGAAGTATATCATCATTGCTGAGAAAAAAACAAAACAAAACAAAACTAATATGTTATTAGGGTGATGCGTCTGTCAGAATTACAGAGGAGCCAGCATGTCTTTGAGGCGTACAAGAATGGCATCAGAACTTAAAAAGGGGAATAATGTATGTCATGTTTATAAAACTCAAAGTATCAGTTACTCTCAGCAGTATTTTCCAAAGTGCTTATTGATGAGTTTCTTTCTGACACTCTCCCTGTGAGAAAGGTTAAGTGGCTCTACCTTCCTTCCACCAGTGGGGGCTCAAACGATGAGAGGTTAATTGACTTGCCTCCAGGTTTTACAGAGAGGCTGACCCAGTTGGAGAAATTTTCACGGCCTGTAACTCTTGCTTTCCATTCCAAAGGCTCTGTAGCGCCAAGGCTGCTCTAGAGAAGACCCCAACTGAGGCAGGAAAAATTTGCAAATAAGGAAGAGGTATCTGGCTGAACCCTTTTTTTTCCTCTTCTTTTTTGTGGTGCTGGTAGTTGAACCCTTTCATTCTTGGAATTACTGGGGCAGTGAGAAAGATGGTCTCTTCAAGGTCATAGTCCATGATCCTCAAACTAGAAACTGTTCTGCTGCCTTGTGCTAAGCTGTAGGAATGATGGATGGCAGTTTTTTACTAAATTGATCATTCTCAGCAGGAGTCCTGTGACTTTGAGCTGTAACCTGACAGCTTCAGAAGGCTTAGGAATCTGATGTTATTTTTGAAGCAAAAACAATTCACTTTTTGCCCTTTTCTGTAGAAGGGGAACCAGATTTCCCTGATGGCATGTTGGTGTTAAAACTTGTCTAAAATTCTGATACTGCAAAATACATAATATGACTATAGAGGTTCTTTCTAATACAGAGGGCCCCTGCATCTCTTCCTGTGCCCCCAGCACGCCTGCTGAATCTTGAATCACCTTGGCCTACTGTTCTCAGCTATGCAGCAGATCTTTAACCCAAAACGAGGTTGGTTGGTGGTGCCTCTAAAGATAGTCTTAGATAAGAAGTTATAGTCTCATCTGGGGGAGAGCACCACTGTGCTGAGCAGCTAACTAGGGTCGTAAACTCAGCATCAGTAATGAATTAAAAGGACAGAGTTTAAGAAAGGAAGATGCTCTGGAAAAATAGATACTCGCAGGCCTTTGTCCTTGGCTTCTCTTATGATGTTTTAGGGCACTCTTCCTCCCTGGAACTTGTGACAATTTGGACTGTCCTTGGATTAAACTGGACACCCTTGCCTACATGCACATTCCTTTTGGTGGGCTTTGTTTAACTTCTTCCCATTTGTCCTTGTCAGGGCCTTATCTCTGGGATGAACAACTGGTTGGTTAGGAGGAGCTTTATAGGTCAGCTTAGAATTAGTAAGGGGATGTGCATCTTTTGTAGTAATACCTCGGTTCATGAACAGTTTGGTTTGCAAACAGAAAAATTGAAAAATTTTTACTTCCATTAGTGCAAACTGCACATCGGATTGATGAACATGAGTGGATCTGTGAAACAAATGTTTAGGTTTATGAACTGAGCTACTGTATATATATATGTGTTACATATACTGTATATGTAAGTGCATGAGTGTATATTTTTATATGCTGACCAAGAGTTTTCTTTAAAGTAAGATAGCTCCCTGCCTCTCATCTCTGCATTTTATTGGAGGTGAGAAGGGATGGTTATCTTGGCTTTGTGCAACTGGCTTCTTTGTGCTTTGCCTGTCAGCTTTCCCTCTGGCCCTCTTGATGTCAGTCCCAATGTCATTTGTGCTATCTGGTGCCTTTTTATACATATATTTTTTCTCTCTCAACCCTTGTCTTTGTAGTTGTTTCCAAGGGAGTTCCTCTAGTAAAATTTTAACCCCTTCTATTCAGGTTAGCCAGAAAACCAATGAGGCCCTTATTCTATAAGGCCTCATTATAGGAGGCCTATTATGTTGTTCCGATTATTCTTGTGTCTTGAATGTACTTCTCTTCTGGCTCCGTATATGCCCTCTCTAAATTAGCTGAAATACTTGTGAGATTGTTAGGAGCTGGTGGAGGGTAAGCTTAGCAAGAGTAAGCAAATAGTAGGAATTTGAGACAGCAAAATTGGTTTAATCATCACTCTACTGCTTGCAGGTTGAGACTTAGGCTAACAGGGTCTTCTTTTTTGGCTTTATGTTTTCTGCTATAAAAAATGGGCATACTTATCTCACTGTTAAACTGTAAACCCACACCAATCGATGTCTACTTCATAGACAAAAGCAGGTCAAACTTGGGTCCAGAGAATGTTGGCATGTGGTACCCTCAGAAGAAGTTACCTCTCTTCTCCCACCAACCAGCACTGTACCCCCGTTGCACCTAGTTGTTTACTTTAAATTAGGTTGAGGAGTACAGATTTGCCACCTGGGTCTTCAAAATCTACAGACATTTTATTAGATGGGGAAACCAAGGCCAGGCATGGTGGGATGAATCCAAGTTGATGTGACCTCTCTTCCTATATATTTTGTCTGGAGCAAGGGTCCTTCATCACTTCCCTTGCTCTTTTCTTCCCAGATGGAGCAAGAAGATCAGTGTGTGTATGAATACCAGGACTCAGAAGACAGAGAGATGGGCTGTGATTTTGAGGACACCAAGGACAGGGAAGGGAACCCACAGGAAAGAGGAATAAATTCTAATCCACAGGATGCGGGAGAGAGAGGCCATCTGGTGGAGGAGATGGACTGCAAGCCACAGGATGAAGCTCTGAGAGGGGACATGCGGGAGAGAGAAGTAGCACCCAGCACCTGCACAGGTGAGGAGATGGCTGGAAGTTTCCCACTCACCTTTACATTGAGCTCCTGTAGAATCATAATCAGGGCAGCATTCTCAGTGGGGAACTCTAGAGGAGACCACTCAGCAGGATTCTGTATGGACTCAGCCTTTCTCGTGTGGGTGTAGGGGAGCCTCCTTTCCTTCCACTGCGTCTTCAGTGGGCTCTGCTGGTCAGTGTGGGAGAAGTGGCTCACAGATGGGCACAGCACTTTGCGGCACAGAGTACTGCTATCAATTACCACTTGTAACAGTGTGCAACAGAATTACAAAGGTAACATTGGAACCTACCTTTCAGGGTTGCTGGGAGAGTTAAATGAGTTGCTGCATTTAAAGAGTTACTTAGCACAGTGCTGGGCAAAGTTATCCAGACGTTTCCACATAGAGTAATCATCTATCTCTCTGCAAGTAAACTCAATGGTAAGTACTTGCCTAGGTTCATGTGGCTAATTTCCAAAGTGTCCAAGCCATCTGCTAAATCCATTGCTATTCCTAACCAGCATGTCTTTGAGTAAATGCTGGGCCCCTGTCCTCTTCTTTATTTCTGTCTCAGGGCATTTGTTGCTTATTTCTGTGGAGCACATGCCCTAGGGAAAGAAATGAGCTGAAATTCTTTTTGACCAGGTCTGTGAGGTTACATTCCTTTGTCAGTGACGCAGTCCCACACTCTCTGCTACCCTCCCCTGAGGTGCACACAAGCATTGGCCTCCACATTCCAGAAAGTCTCTGGAGCCCCCTGTGCTTAGGGATAAAGCAGCCAAACACCAACAGGTGTATGTCCCGGCCCAGCCTCCAACCTGGGCTTGACAGCTCTAGGATCCATATTCTCTTCTGCTACCATCACTCCCTCTGCCCCATCATAGTCACCTCCTTAAAAGTGAGTTCAGTTTGTTTTTCCACCTTCAGCTGTTCCAGACTGATCAGATGTATTTAACACATAAGCATAGAGCCTCTTTAGGGTAAGTTGTCCTGTGTGTATGTGTGGCTGGCCAGACTAGTTTGTCTTTTGAAGCTAGGCCCTTAAAAAGTCATTCACAGTTCTTGGATAAGCAAACCTCATTTCTAAAGACCCAGGTCTCAACAAGTCCCACCCGGTGCAGCCTTGGGCCTCTCCTGCCTTTACTGGCTCTGCTAGGCGCAGTCTGGGCTACCGTGTGTGGGGTACATGTTGTAAATCAGAGAGCACTGTGTTTTAGGCTTTTCCTGACAGAAGTGAGATGGGTGGAGCTGAAAGGTAGGGGAGGCCGTGGAGGGGTGGGGATCCGGAGTGCTGGGGGGGCACCTGTTGAGGCTGTTTTCCCTAGGCTTACCTTCTAAGTGCCAGGTCTAGTAAGCCCCACTGCTGCCTTTTCTATTGCAGAGGGACTGCTGAGTGAGGAAGGAACGGTTGCTCTCCCTGAGGAAGAGGATGCCCAGCCTGGTGTGTCTGACATGGTGATGTTTCCAAATCTGTCTGAGTCAGACAGCATGGCCCGGAGCCCGGCACAGGAGGGAGAGGAGAGCGCTGGAGAGAACCGGTTGGAAGAGGAAGAGGAGCAGCCACCCCCTCCTGTACTTCCCTGGAGGCGCCACCTCTCCCTGGCGGGTCGGCACAGGGGCGACAAGCCCTCCCACCGCCGCTTCCATCGGCTGCACCACCCCTTGGCCATGGACCTTGGGGAGCTTGACAGCCTGGTGGCCAGTATCATGGACGCGCCCACCATCTGCCCAGACTGTGGGGAGAGCTTCAGCCCGGGCGCGGCTTTCCTGCAGCACCAGCGCATTCACCGGCTGGCAGAGGCCGCTGCTGTGGCCAGCCTGGAGCCCTTCGGCCTGGCAGGCGAGTGCGGGGCGGTGGTAGGCATGATGGGGGTGAGCGTGGCGGGGGGCTTCAGAGCGGGGCCTGTGCTGGCCCGGCCCCCACGCGAGAAGCCTTTCCGCTGCGGGGAGTGCGGCAAGGGCTTCAGCCGCAACACCTACCTGACTAACCACCTGCGCCTGCACACGGGCGAGCGGCCCAACCTGTGTGCAGACTGCGGCAAGAGCTTCAGCTGGCGCGCCGACCTGCTTAAGCACCGCCGCCTGCACACCGGCGAGAAGCCCTACCCGTGCCCCGAGTGCGGCGAAGCTTTCAGCCTCAGCTCACACCTGCTCAGCCACCGGCGCTCACATGCGGCGGCCAGCGGTGCGGGCGCAGCGGCGCTGCGGCCCTTCGCCTGCGGGGAGTGCGGCAAGGGCTTCGTGCGCAGGTCCCACCTGGCCAACCACCAGCGCATCCACACCGGCGAGAAGCCGCACGGCTGCAGCGAGTGCGGGAAGCGCTTCAGCTGGCGCTCGGACCTGGTGAAGCATCAGCGCGTGCACACAGGCGAGAAGCCCTACATGTGCTCTGAGTGCGGGGAGGCCTTCAGCGTGAGCTCGCACCTGTTCACACACAAGCGCACGCATTCGGGTGAGCGGCCTTACGTGTGCCGCGAATGTGGCAAGGGCTTCGGGCGCAACTCACACCTGGTGAACCACCTGCGGGTGCACACAGGCGAGAAGCCCTTCCGCTGTGGCCAGTGCGAAAAGTGCTTTAGCGACTTCTCCACACTCACTCAGCACCAGCGCACGCACACGGGTGAGAAGCCCTACACGTGCATCGAGTGCGGCAAGAGCTTCATCCAGAGTTCTCACCTGATCCGCCACCGCCGCATCCACACCGGCAACAAGCCGCACAAGTGCACCGGTTGTGGCAAAGGCTTCCGCTACAAAACGCACCTCGCACAGCACCAGAAGCTGCACCTGTGCTAGGGTGGGTGGAGAGAGTAAGTGGGGAGTAGGTGTCCCCGGGACAGAACCTCTCGAAGGAAGTTGGTGCAGGGGCAGGAGGGACAGTCTGAAAGTGACTGAAGAGCCTTTTGTTGTTCTGGGGTCCCGAAGGGAAGGGTTGAGGAGCAGTTATTTTGGGGTGCTATATATTTCGCCTACCTCCTCTCCATCAAAGAACTTGGAAGGTGTGGTTGAGTGGATGGCTTCCTTGAATATGCGCTGTAGGGAGTGAAGGGTGTGGATGAGCCAAGGCTCTGAGGCCTTCAGGAGGGAGATTTGGAGCGGGGAACAAGAGACAGCACAGAGTACCTTGGCTTTGGTGGGCTGTGGGATCAGGGAAGAAGGCATGGCTGGAATGAGAGTTATGGGGTAAAATAAAATGCAGGTGTAAACCTGTCTTGGTCCCACTAGGTGGTAAGAAGTGTTTGCCCTGACTGCGATGCCCTGCCCACCCCATCGACCCCATAGGCAACCCCATAAGAGAGGATATTGGCTGTATGCTTCCTTTCCTTTCTCTGAGCCACAGTTAGCTGCTATTTTAGGCATCCAGGGGAAATGGCATGAAAGACAACACATCTTCATTTCAAGGGGCGTCCTCTGGGGTTTAGAAATTCATTTATAACTGGTTCTCAGACCTCTTGCAAAATCCTGCTCCTGGTTTTTTGCTGCTTCCTTGAAAGCACTGTAGCTTCATGCTGAGTCTAGGTTGTCTGTGAAGATGACCCATCTCTCTCTCTGTTGTAGGTATACACCAGGCCCAGTATTTTTTTTTTTTAAGGTCTCACTTGTGACTTTTCAGGTACAAGGAAATGGAACAGTCCCAACTCTGTATAACTTTCCCCTTCTCAGGTCATCTTGGTGTGTGTTTGAAGTGAAACTGGACTATCAACAGCTACCCCAGGCCGTACAAAAATGAATTAGCTCAGAGTTTTGCTGGCCTTACATGAGAAATCCAGAAGAGTAAAGTTTGCATGTTGAAACGCAAAACTCCTTTGTCTCATTTGCCTTTACTTTGCATGTGTGGGCCCTGTCCCCCAGTAACCCCCACCTCTACCCTTACTAACGAGGGGTCTAGTCCAAGCAGGAAGTTCTGTTTCCTATGTGTGGAGGCACTGTAGAAATCTCAAGGCTTTACACAAAGAGGGAATGGTCTGGGAGAGGTGTAAAAGCAACATTGCCAAATAGCACAAGCGATGAATGTTCTCTAGTTCTATAGATGCCAAAATAACACTTTTGGATTTGCAAAGTGCTTTATGCTTTTTAATGATTGTTAGTTGTTTCTCACATCTTTGTGAGGTGAATCAGTATTATGACCTCTTGTAGGGAAGGCCCGGGGACAGGAATATGGCAGGCTGTCTTGAAGGAAGGCCAAGGCCTGTGTGAATTGGTGTTGCCTGACCTTTCATGTTCTCTGGCTCAGCTGCTAGGAAGGCTTAACCTGTCATGACTATATGATAAGGACACTGAACAGTTTTATGCTTGATAGAAAACTCAAATCTAGCCTAGAAGGGCCAAAGATGTCCTTATTGACAAAGCTGGTCTTTGTTACCTAGTTAGGGTATCCTAGCTATGTTCCATTTCTAGTAAGAGGCTGTAGTTAAATGACTTGTGTGTAGATTTCAGTTTCCTACCCTGAAAATTCCCTCCCATAGGTTAGCCTTAGAAGCTAGAGTTGTGGAAAGGAGTGTTTTTCACTAATATTTGTTACCCTATACTATTCGTAGAAGCATTTTCACAAACTGTTGGACACAGTTGAAGGGGGAAAAAACTACAAAATTGTTTTTACAGTTTTAGCAAAGTTTCTGTGAATGCTAGTAATTTATACTTGATCAGCTGTATTCTAGCACAGAACCTCTTTGGGGACTATAGGAAAGCATGTTTTCGTCATAACACAAAAAAATCCTGAGAATTTTGGGTTGTATATTGCCTATTGATCTTGCCCTCTCAAACATTTCGTTACTATTCAGAGATGAAACTGGATGTTCATACTAGGGATAGTTTTGAAGGACACTAATTAATTTTCATTTTCTCTTAGTCAAAACAAGCAAAGTACCTATCTGTTATTTATTCTGACTCGTAGTCTGAATACCAATTGTATACAATCTATCTAAAAATAATATGACCAATTTGTAGGTAATATTTCTCTTTTGTAGTGGTGTTTTATCCATGCACATCTACCTCTTCCAGCTGTTTTAAGTTCTCTCAAGTCTGTGCCTATACAATCTCATCCAACTTTTGATTGTTTATGAATTGATTATTGACTTTGTGTGTTACTTGGTCTTTAGTTGCCAACATTACAGTCTCACTGTCATCAAATTTGTTACATATCAGCAAAATTGGAGTTTAATGGGGAATGGAATGGGGATTGAAGCTAATGTAAAATAATGGCAGTGAAAATCTTTGGACTTTGCCTCTCTTGTCCTTTTTATTATTATGGATAAGAGTCAGCTATGGCATTAGAATCCCTTCTCCTTACCAGTAGAAAGCTGTTCAGCCACCAGTGCCCAATCTCTTTGTGTATTTAAAATATGATTCCATATTTCATGTTTCTCCAGGGTATATACCCATATTTTTTAAAAAATGCATTCAGGAGGGTGTTTTTTGTCTTTAATTTTAGAGTAATAGTATTTCTTCAGCAAACCCTGTGAACTGTGGCTCATCTTTTGAAATGTTAAAGATTCCTTCCTCCAAATCATTAATGATGGTAGCCACAAGTGCATTATTTGTTTCTTAGGGAATTTGGCCAAGACCTCTGCTAAGCAAAACCTGAAACAGTCAAAAGTTTGATTAACTCCTGAGTTCTGGGTTGGAAGGAGATGAACATTTAACCCTTTGAGCCATATGGTCTCTTTACAGTCAAGAGGCTGTACATATGTGAAAAGGTACAAATTAAGGATTTGTGTTCATAGACAATCTGAGCTGTGTTTCTGAAGTTTATGCACACTTCACTGTAATGTTATTTTACATCTGTTTGTTAAAATAATGAATAATTTAATGTTCCTGAGAGTAACAGGTTTTGTGTGAGTATAAATTTGTGTATGTGAGAATTGCCTTGCTTTGGGGTTGTTTTATTTAATATTGGTTCTTTGGACAGTTTTCTGGTGTTCAGCAACAAATATGGAATATTTGTCATTAAATCCACGTCAATCTTTTCCTGTTATTTTTCCTTTGTTACTCATGCATTAGATGTGACACAGTTTGATCTACAGAAGCTATGTTATGGTAAAAGAGGGGTTGGTGAACTCCAGATCTGGCCTGACTCTTTTTGTAAATAAAATTTTATTGGAATATATTTTCACCCATGCAGTGACATTCTTTATTGTCTGTAGCAACTTTCACATTGCAGTGGCAGAGCTGAATAGTTGTGACAGAAGCTGCATATGCTATAATCCTAAAATATCTACTATCTGTACCACTACAAAAACAGTTTGCTGACTACTGTCAGTTGAGGTGGATCCTAGATTATCCTAGACTTGCTGATGTCTGCACTCTTAAATACATGTTCATACCAGAACTTCATACAGTAAGTCTAAGCTCGAGTGCTTCTGAGATGCTGGACATGTGTTTATCATATAGCACTGTTATCTCTTCTTCCAAAAATCATGTGTAGAGGCTTTTGGGGAAGGTTGAAGAACAAGTATGGGGGAAAGCAGGTGCAAACTGCTCTATTAAAAATGTATTCCCTAATCACATCACAAATATTTTCTTTCCCTCAGTTCTTAAAAATGTAAATTAATGATGACTGATTTTCTGAAGGGAAATTTTGTGGTAGACTAGTCTTTGGCCTATTTTGTTTTTTTAGAAAAGGTCTAAGTTTATAGTTCAGGCTGGCCTTGAACTATGTAATGCAGTCTGGCCTTGAAATTATACCGATTCTCCTGCCTCAGACTACCAAGTCCTAGGACACCATGCCAGACCTGAGACTGGCTTTCATGCATAATATTTCTTAGCTAGACTCTGCTCAACCACTTGAAAACCTTGAATCAGGCAGCACTTTCTAAGGAAGGGATCAAAAGGACAGATCAGAAGTCGTGTGAGAATGTATCACCTTATCGTTTTTAAGGGTTACAACCTCCTCTTTGTCTGCATAGCCATCAGCCCTTTTCCTGTCTAGCAGGGCCATGGGGACACTGGGCCTAGGAGTTAGTCATAGAGCTGTGGTCATATTCCTCACCAAGCTTAATTCTGGCTTGCACCATCAGCCAGACTATGTCCTGGTTCCCTAGGACAAAATATGGGACTTTAATGTAGGTAAGCTGATATTAAAGAAGGATGGCAGGGGATCGGGTCCACCTGCCTACACAATAAAAAGTTGCCCAGCTTAAATGTGAGATGAAGGGGACTCTACCACAGACCAGTGAGTGGAAGTGCATCTGGTCATGTCGGAATTTGGGGATCTGCTTAGTTAAGAGCAGCAGCGTCCTTAATGTTGAAGAGGTTTTGTTTATTTTTTAAATCTGGATATTGATTAACTGCAGTGAAGCCCAAGTTTGTTCAATTTTATGAGTGGCCCAGGCAATTTTAATGAGAAATGGGGTTGAGAACTCTGTAGGGCCGGTCAGGCACCCATTTTCTTGAGGATGATAGGACCTGCAAGCCATGAGCCGCAGGGCCTGTCTTGTCCCCAGAGGACTAGAAGAAATTGGCTTATAAGGTGTCCCAGGCATTGCTGTCCTGGGTTGCAGGAGGGCACCTTCTGCACACATCTTGTCTAAGTGGCAAGATCATAAGGAGGGGCCAAACAAACACCTGTCTTTCTTGTCTACCAGAAAAAGGGAGAAAGGGCGCAGAAGGTAGCTGCTGGGCCTTCTCTTTCTCCCCCAATCCTATTTGTGTTTTGTCCTCTCCTTTCTGACCTTCCTTTCCCACTCAGCTCATAGAGCACAGCAGAATTCCCCACATCACCCGTCCCCTCAGGTGTCCTTGGAAATGTCAGTGTTTCTTTCCTTTTGTCTGCTGCAGAGGGGAGGAGTATCTTGTGTGAACCAATCCCCTATTAGTAGGCTTCTCTCTTTTCCTGTTAGAGCCTCAAGTGCTTGCAGATTTCAGCTGCCTGCTGCCAGCTTATATTTTCAAGGTCATCTCTGCTGACCCAAAACACATTCCAATGGTTTTCCATTTCCACCTACCCTGGCAGGATGCAGACTGTGTTCCTCATACTTTCTGCATTTGTCCTATACTCTGCTCATCACAGCAGCAGGAAATGCTCAGCTGTGGACCCCAGTGAGGGTCTGGCAGGTGTGTCATGTATCAAGCTACCCTGTGTTTCAGGAGGGTGGAAAGATATGAGTGTGTGTGCCGCGCCTTCCTTACCCATATGTGGATTTTCTACCTGAGTTGTAGGATGGATGGGTCCAGTCCTGGAGACCACGGAGGCAGTTAAACAGTCATTTTGTTCACAGAAAACACTCATCTGTGTGTACAGTTGTGTGCCCCCTGGTGACACAGATGGAAAAGGAGTTAGCCCTCAGGATATGGCACTGCAGAGAAGGGGACTGAATATATAAATAAATAATGACAGTGCAGTCAGGTACTCAAAAGACATAGAGGGTAAATGAGAAGTAAGGAGTTGAGAAGGATGTGTTGACAGGAGAGGTGGGCACATCCTAAGCAGAAGGATTACTGTGTGCTGGAATGGAAATGTGGAGAGGCACAGTGTATGCGGTTGGTTCCAAGTCTGGAATGTTGTTATAGCATCATGCTGGAGAATCTAGACAGAGAGCAAAGACTGGCGATAACTGAGTCATCTGATGGGATAGGCAGGGATTAGGTCCCAAGTCATTTTGTGTTAACTGATGGCAGTCAGACTAACCCTCATGACCTGGGGCTGCACTGAAGGGCTACAGGAGGAAGTAACACAGTGGGATGTTAGTTTGCAGAAACAATTGTGACAACAGGGCTGAGAATGGATTTCATGTACGACTCTCCAGGTAGGAAAGACTTTCTTGGGGATTAGGCAAGGAATGAGGAGGCTTGAATCTAGGCAGTGTTACCGGTGAGAGAGAGGACAGAATAATTCAGTGTTTCAGATGCTGAATGCATTGGACCTAATGATGGGTAGGAGGAGGATTTGTGTGTATCTTGTAAACATGTGACCAGGGACTGCTGTGTCCACACTAAGTCTTGACTAAAGTCCTGTCCATTCTGCTTGCCTCACTGAAGCCTGGTTTCCATTTCTCTAAGGGAACATATACCAGGCCTCTGTCTCTTGCTGATTCTCAAAGCATCCTCTGCATCTCATTCAGTCCATCCTACAGAGTGCTGCCACAATAATCTTCCTGGGACACGAAAGTGGAAACTTTACTGCTTTTTTTTTTCCTGGTACTGGGAATTGAACTCACTACCTTGCGCTTGCCAGGCAGGCGCTGTGCCGCTGAGCTAAATCCCCAGCCCCTACTGCTTCTTGACATGCCAGCTAGTGCCCTACCTGTGTTCCCAGACTGTCATTAGTCTTTGCTAAAACAGTACTCTCTTCCCATACAGTCTCATTTTTAACAGGGATGAGGCCAAATATATAGGAAGTAATTCACTATCAATGTTCTCTAGAAGGACCACAGAATGTCTACTCTGGAAGGAAGAGGGAAGGAGGTGATATCTCCTGGGGACCCAAGGAGGTCCAGGTGTGTGTCCCTGTGAACTTTCGGGAGTATCTTGCACTTTACCCTGCACCAGGCTCTCTGGTCCGTCCACAGTGGTCTCCTTGCTCTCTGAACACAACGTCTGTCCCATGGGGGCCTTTGCAGACTCTGTGGATTCTGCCTGGAATACTTGCACTCATATTTCTTTCTTAGACTCCAACCCATCTTTTCACATGCTTCTCAAATATGAAAACGTATTCATTGATTCCCTGCCCAGAAGGATTCTCCTCAGTCACTTGACCTCTCTTGGGCATTGTCTACTTTCCCATGTATGGAACCCATTATGCCTTCCATTCTACCTCACCAGTGCACTACAAGTTTGGGAAGAGATAAAAATGGGGAGACCTTGTCCTAGCTCCAGTCTGCAGATATGTTGTCTTATCATCCTCACTTATCCTCCCATCAAATTGAGTATTTAAAAAGTACAGCATCTTCCAGGCATGCAGGAAAGTTTTGAATATGATAAAACATACACCCGAACTTTGTCACAGGTTTGAAACTATTAGCCACTGTTACCTCATGATCCACTTGTTAAGAAAGATTTGACATTTAAATTGAGAGAAGTAGAAGATGCATTCTCCTACTATAGCTGATGGTTACTCTGTTTAAAATGTATACAAAGAGTTTCCATTCCTTTAGAGTTAACTTCTAATATCCAGAGATCAAATTATTTGAGTTAAAAATGGGCACTTTGCCACCTTCCATTCAGGATTGGAGCTAGTGGTCACCCACTGGCCCCTCCACCTGGACCCTCTGACGCCAGCCTGCTCAGTGCAGTCTGGCACCTGGCCTGCCTACTGTCCCCAGGAGGCCTTGCTCAGCTGCTGTCCAGCTTTCTCTCCCTTTGGCCCCCTGCCCTCCCCTACCTGCTCACTCCCCCTCTCCTCTCACCACCCCTCAGGCTGCTCCCCACACCTGCACTCCGTTGTTCTCCTCTCCAAGGCCCACAGGCACCGTGAAGCTTTCCCCAGCATCTTCAGTTCAGCTGCTTTCTCCATGCTCAAGCCCAGAGACAGTAGCCAGGAGCTGAGCGCTTACCTATTGTAGTCAGGGTTTGCAAGGGAAACAATTTAATATAGAACACATAATCTATAGGATTATTTTTATAATATTCACCCAAAGAGTGAAATACAAAAGAGTGAAGGAGATCTGTCCGTACACCAGAGACCCAAAGAATCCAGCCGAGGGCCTGGATCCCATGGCAATGTCCTGCACAAATCCAGCTGAAAATCTAGAGGCCATAACAGTGCCCCCCACGAGTCCAGCTAGAGGCCTAGAGCCCAAGACAATGTCTCCTGAAAGTCAAAGACCTGCACTGGAAAGCCTCAAAGGTCAATGGTGGAAGCCAGAATGTCTGGGCCCGTGGGGTGAAGGATCTGTGCCAGCAGATTGAGGGACCTGCACTGGAGGTGGAAAGCGTTGCTCAAGGTGAGGACCAGAGCTTCCCTGAAAAGTACCACAGCCATCCCCAGCGACAGCGAGTCCTGAGCTCCTCCAGTGATGAAAACAGCTGAGTTTGTATCAGGAAAGCCAGTGTGATAAGCTTCTCCAGGAGAATCAACACTCACCTCTTCCTCCCCAGTTCTCCTTTTTATGTTGTTGGCAACAATCCTCAGGTGGGCCCTCCTCACCCAGCACCACATTTACTCAGTTTAGCTGGGTGTTACAGCTTGCCCACCAGTTGTCAATCCACCACACCTGTGTTTTTCCCTGTTCTCACTACAGACTGCAGAGTTCCCCTGCAGATGGAAGAGCAAGGAGAATTCAGGTTGGGGCTGCCACTTTCCCTTGCATCTGTGCTGCCTCCCTGTGGTGCTGTGTGTGCAGTGCATACAGGCTGTGTGCAAGACTTCAGTATGCCTAGCCCAGGCAGTGCTGTGCCCAGTGCAGGTCGAGACAGCGGACTTTGCTGGCCAAAGCATTCTGAGGCCTTATGCTTACTAAGTTGAATCCGTCAGCCAATATAGTTCCCCTTGTCTTTCTCCACTAATCCTTGCCTGCCTCATCCCTGGCCCTGGTGGATTAAATGAGGGATTTCACTGGCCTAAAAGCAAGAGCAAAGGCCATTTGTCAGACCCCATTGTCCTCTTTCCTTCCTGAGCTACTGGCATAGCCACATGGAAGGTGTGCATGCCTCACCAGGGTTGGATAGACCACAGCTCTTGTGCTGTGAGCAGCTGAGGTGCACAGGGCAGCTACATGTGTCACCTGCCACTACCTGGGGCCACTGTGCCCTGGTGCCTCTGTCCTTTGGGTGTTTCAGGTGGTGTCCAAGTGTTGTATCCCTTTCTTCTTCAGAATGAATGGTCAACTGTATCCTTAGTGAGAGTCCAACTCAAGTGAATTAAAGGTTTATAAGTACTCAGCGTAATAATGCAAATTTGTACCAAGTTGTGTTTACAAGTACATATTGGGTTTTACTTGTACCTTTTCCTATGCTCTCTTTGTGTCGAATGAGCTTAAGAGGGAGATGAATTTCTACAAGTGGAGGGGCAGAAGAAAACAGAAACAGACAACAGAGAGCAGAATAGTTGTTTCAGTTACTTTCCTTGTAAAGGGTACAACAGAGGGGACCTCCTTGTAATGGTGGGTGTAAGAATATGGGCATCATCGTTATGTCCCAATTTCGTAGGGGTCAGATAAGCACCCTAATTTTGGCTTGGAGTGTGGAACTTCAGTATGAGAGACACTGGTTGTTGGTGTGTTGGGTCTAGCCAGGAGTTCCAAACAAACTAGTGAGTTTTGTGGAACAAGTGAAGGAAGAACTGTTGATGTCAGTGAGGCTCTTGTGGTGTTGTGATAGAAAAGACAGAAGATGCAACATCTAGTAGAAGTGGGTGCAGCTTCTTCTGCCTATAGTTTGAGCCTCCTCATACAGGCTCCTCACCTTGTTCCATTTGTCACTGTCCCCAATGACTTTTTCTTCCTTTGCCTGTTGCTTTTCTGGTTGTTTAACAACTGTGTCATCATTCAATTCCCCAGAGTTTCTTATTTGTTATCTACTTTTCAGAGAAGTTGATAGAGATGAGAGGGGGAGACTGGAGGAAAGGAAAGAGACTGAGCAGATATAAAGGCAAAGGGAGAGAAGATGAGACACACGGCAGAGGGGAGAAGTGGGAAGGATGGAGAAGCAGTTAAAGTGGAGGTATGGTGAGTTGATTTCCATATTTTAGTCCATGTAGAAGATCAAATCTGGGAAATTCAGATCTATTGCCTTACTTTTCCAGGAATCCATGGTATAACTTCATTGTGTGAGTTGAAATCTTGAAATATAGGGTCATGGATGTCCAGGATGGCCAAAACCCATACATGCAGCGTGCTTTATACCGTCAAGGACAGTGACATTCTAGTCAATGTGGAAATACCTCTGGTTCTTCCTGCATTGTTTAGGTGCTTTAGTTAAGTCATAAATTCCCCATAGGTCCTCTTAAGGACTTTCTTGGTTCTTGAGAGCTGTACATGGGAGAAAAGGAAGGAGCTAACCCAACATTGCTGGGGTATTTCTAGGTAGGGGGCTAATACCTTGGTCCCCAGGCTATTCCTCTGACCACTCTAATGCAAGCTGGAAGATCAGTGAAAGGTGAAGCTTTCCAAGTACATCTTGAGATGTGACTTTGGTATGTCACATTTAGTGAGACTATGAACAGGTTTCCTCATCCAAGGCATAGGAATAGGAGTCTCTGTCTCTCAGTAATGTGGTGAAACTGAAATAAGGTATACTATGTCAACAGTCATCTAGTATATGTCTAAATCATAGCAGATCTTAGTCAATCTTAGGCCCCATCCCGGCCCTCCTGCCACTCTGCCCATCCCAGCTTCGTGCTCCCTCTGAACTACACAAGGCCATGCTTGGAAATGGAAGGGAGAGCCACACATTATTAACAAAACCCATACTTTCTCTATATTAATCTTAAAACATTTATTGTTCTTTTCATTGAGCTTTGTGAAGGAATGGGAGATTTTCAAAGAAAAGAAATAATTTGACACTGGAGAGGGAAAATGGAACCACTGAAATGATTCATACCATCAAAGGGGACAAAGCAGATACAGATACAAAGCAGCTTATTTTTACTTGTTTCACGATTATGCCAGAAATCTTCTGGCTGTGCTAGTAAGCAGGGAAGCTCATGGTGGCCACTGTTTCAAAAGGAGTCAGTAGAGCCTGTGTATCTACCTCAGTCACTTTTTCCAGTTAACAGAGGGAGGGCTGGAGAGACAGCTTCAGGCATCATTCATGGCTACGTTCTTGTGATGGCGCATCTGAGTCTGTCTTCAGAGTCCCCTTGTGCTGTTGCACTAGTGAATTGATCCACTCTCCCGTGTTCTGCTTGGCTTCCTCCCAACTGAAGCATGGCTCGTACCCAAAGTCTTGCTGAGCTTTCTTGTAGGAGAAGGTGAACACACTATTTAATATTGTCAATAAGTGGCGGTTAATGGGGGGTTGAAATTTGTAAATTGGACGGAGCAGGAAGCTCACGATTTCCAGCAGGAAAGCAAGAAAGTACATTAGAGAGAGAGGGAGGTTCAAGGTGGAATCAAGGCAAAGGCCCCTCTCTTTGCTCAGGGTATAATGGAAAGTATCATAGCTTTGGTGAGGCGTATCATCTGTGATGTAGTAGAATTGTCCTCCAATGTTTGGGGCCTTGTTGGGGTCCCTCAGTCTCCTTGTGGCCAGAATGTGGACCCAGGCTGCATTGCCAACATAGACTGGGTTGGCTCTAGAGAATTTGCCTATACTTTTCAGCATTCCATTGTTTTTGAGGGCCATATTCACCACAAAAGATAACAATGGGCTTCCTTCTCCATAGATGTAGGCGCATCTCAAGGCACAAGTGTGCAGGGTGCCACCATTTCTCAGCGTGCAGCCATTAGCTTTCAGCACAGCCTTCTCCGCCACCTTTTTGCTGTATGGGTAGGGAGCAGACCACGTGCTTTCGTGATGCTCGTCCTCGTGGGAATTCTGGATGATCTCCTTGTAGGAGTTGGGCCCAGCTACCTCAATTGAGCTGGTGTAGATAAAGACTGGCACACTGGCTTGTACACAGGCCTCCAGCAGGAACTGAGTACCTGTAGATGGGCAATATGTGGTCAATGTCAGGAAATAACAGAAATGGTTCACTGTAACTCTAGTTCATGCTCATTTTTACTTCCTCCCCAACTGAAGTTGCTGTTCAATATTTGAGTATAATTTTTCCTCTCTGACTCAGGTGTACTATGGTATAGTTTTAGGAAAAAGCAAAAATAGAAAAAAACCTGACATTTTTGTTGTGGTGACCAAATATTCTTGGGTCCATGCAATGTGTGTATTGTGTTTATGTGTGTGTAATTTTGTGTTCTTTGATTTTGATGAAGAATATAAGGTTATTAGTTCATATTTTACCACTGTGGACATGAAATAAACCATCATTTCTAATGCATAGCATTTCATTTTAAATTCACAAAATTAAGAAACCATATTCTTAGAATAGAAGCAGTCCTAGTCCTTAGCCCAAAAAGGACTATTAAACAATTCACTTCACACATGGTCATTTACAGTTATACATAGGAAATAACAATACACATCCTTCTATAGCTATTTTTCTGATTTGTTCAGGATTAATAAGACTTTTGTCAGAAAGACCATCTTTGAATGCTTAAGGACATAGTTATTAATTGTGGGTAGATGTGGAGACCTAGTCTTTGTTCCAAATTGTGTGTTTCCTATGAAGGCCACTCCTAGTTCTATGACTCTGTTAATCCAGTTATGAACAGTAATGGTGATGAACATTCTCTTCACTTAGAATTCCAGAGCCCTGCTTTGGGCTTTTCTGTTGAGCCTACTGGGTATCTGAGAGCAAGAGTGTACCCTCTGATCTTTACATATATAATAGCAGATGTCAAAGAATCTTCAGCACTGTAGACAAACTATTTGGTCATGGAAGGGATGGCAAGCACCTTCCTTTGAAGAAGGAAAGAATACCTTGAGAAAGGATTTCTTCCTCCCTTCTGTCCGTCCCTCCAATTCCTTCCTTCTGTCCATCCCTCCAGTCCCTCTAATTTCTCTCTTTCTTTTCTGTTTTTGTTCTTTTGTTTATTTCTGTCTTCTTTCCCCTGTTAAATCTTTGTACAAGATTTTATTATCTGGAGAGATGGTTTCATTAAAAATTTATTTTTCTTCTGATAGGAATCATTATGTTGCTCAGACTGGCTTTGATCTCCAGGGCTCAGGTTGCCCTCCTGATTCAGCCTCTTGAATAACTGAAAATATAGGATATGCCACTGGACCCATCTTGGACAGTCTTATTTCTAAAAAATTAAAATATTTAGCAGAAAAAATGTGGGTTTTGTTTAGTAAAGAGAGAAAATGACCATCGCTGAAGTATTTTATATACATTAGCCTTTGGCCAAGATCAAGTATAAAGCTAGGAATCATTGTATTTTAGCACACTGGTGCCTTCAGGGCTGCCCCTCCTCTTTCCCATTCCCTCATGTTGGGAGATATAACAGGGAGTCCTCGTGGGACCAGGACTAGAGAGACAATGTGGAACTCATAGCATTCTCCTGCAGTGCAGGTAGGTAGGAATGTGCTGAAATAGGAACTATAAAATGTCTTTATTCAGATGGCCCTGGAGACTCAAAAGCACATGGATGTTTTGAAAAAGGCTCATGTGAGTCACAAATTTGGAGGCTAAGGTATGGAGGATACATGGGTCAGGATCTAGCTGGGGGTGATACAGGAGAGACTGACCTTCAGGGTCAGAGTGATGATATTAGAGGGCAAGCTTCCTTGAGATAGTGTGTCTCAATTTATGGTAGATTGGAAAGTCTCAATTCAGAAAGAGCTGTCAAGTATTCAGGGATGAGGATTTTAGGAGTATTTACTTTGGGCACCTGAGTAGGACCTACTTTTCTAGAAAAGACCCCATGGTGAGTTGAAGAGATAGTAATGTTGACAATAGAAATGATCCTGGCTGAGAAACTATAGTAGGAAAGGAAGTGCTGAATCCTTCTGTTCTGGCAGACCTCTGTGGACAAGCTGTTCTAGTTTTTAGGAGAGGTTCCGTCCTTCAAGTGGTCAGGAAGCTCTGGATATTCTCATCAGGCTTGAAACAAGAGCTAAAGGCATGACCTTAGAGGCATCTGGCCCAAGGGAAGAGGTAGATGGATGGATATCAAAAGTGTACAGTTGTTCTGAGCAATTCTTTGAAGATAACAATATGTAATATAGCAACCATTATGAATTCCTATCATATTGTTTTGAAACCCTGTGTCATTTTATTGTTTTTGCTTTGGTTTGTTTTTGCCTATATTGTTGTTATTTTCTTATTTTTTTTATTCTCTTTAAAATAAAAAAATGAAAAGTGTAGAGTTGGAGTCAGAGTTTTGATGGAGTAGCTGTAGGCAGAGGTTTCTTGACCTTTGAATCACACAAGTATGAGTTTAAATTCTGGCTATCCTACTGACTACATATAGGGCTTTGGCAAATTTCTTTCTCTTTCTTGGTTCTGTTTTCTCATCGACAACACCAAGAGTAATAGCTCTGAGCTGTCAGTTGAGAGTGCTGAGCAAATACACCCGGGTCAAAGCCCAACAGCAGTTCCGTGACAGGACTTCTCTTCCCTTCATCTGTTCTGCTGTCCTCTTCCTATCTGCTTTCAAGTTACTCTACCTTTCAGGTTGATGTCCAGGATGGTCTGTGTGTTAATGGATCCTAGGATGTCAATGACAGCAGCAGTGTGGATGACAACTGAAATGCCCTGGCAAGCTCTCTGTAGGCACTGGGGATCCAGAATGTCTCCCTCCAGAAGTGTCACTTTGGTCATTGTCTGAAGCTCTGTGGATACATAACACAGGTTACCAATAAGCTTTCCATTTCTGAGAAAGGAGACAATTACCTCTGTCCTCAAGGATGGCCATGTGGAGGAGTTGTTATGAAGGGAACACATTCCTTGGAAGGAATAAATAAATAAAGGCACAGAAGTCACAATGTGTCGCCTTTTCTGGAAAAGAAACGAATAACTGTTTCTACCTTATGCAATGCCCGCAAATGAATCTGAGGAGGAAGCTCTCATGTGTGCCTGGAACAGGAAAGTTGTTAAAGTCCTGGGAAGTTTTTCAAACTCATTAAAGAGAGTGGAGATGTTGTTGGGTATAAAAGGGAAAAAATAGAATTTAATCTCCTCTGCTGTCCTGGGGATTAAACCCAGGGCCTTGCACTGACCTACATCCCCAACTCTTTGTATTGTTTATTTTGAAACAAGGTCTTGCTAAATCAGTTAGTTGCTCAGGCTGGGCTTGAACTTGCAATCCTCCTAACTTACTCTCCCAGAGTTCTGGAATTACAGGTGTGCACCTCCGTGCCAAGTTTAGAATCTAATTCTCGAGGGACTGAGGAATCATGTGTGGATTTGGAACTAAGCGGGGATCAGAGGCAGGGCTGTGGTATAGGATGCTCACCTTGGCCTCATGGTGTCAAAGGCAATGGTGTGAGGGCCATGAGAGAAAATGAGTGAAAGTAGATGAATGCAGTGTCTCTGCCAGGATTTTGATGAGGAGCAAACAGGTCCCAGCAGGGGGCGCAGTGAAGGGGCAACACGTTCAGCTCCTGACAGCAGTGCAGTGTCTTTTATACTGTGTCATCTAGGAGTCCTCTTGCAGAATGTGGACATGTGAAGAGTCTTTTGTTTGTTTTTTTTTGTTTGTTTGTTTTTTCTCCGGTACTGGGAACCGAACTCACGACCTTGCGCTTGCCAGGCAGGCGCTTTTGCCGCTGAGCTAAATCCCCAGCCCCCTGTGTGAAGAGTCTTTTGGCTCCAAGTTTCTTGCATGTCAAGCAGCCCCTCTCCATACCTGTTCAGGCTTCACAATGGGTCTACCTCCCAAGCCCAGAGCTCACTTACTAGAGAATGCCTCTCTCGTTTCTGGTTTGAAGGTCTTATCCAGAGCCCTGACCTCCTGCAGCTCCTTCTCCTGCACCAACAACTGGATGATCCTCTTGCCCAGGAAGCCTCCTGCTCCTGTCACCAGGCAGCTCCACCCTGTCATGGCCAATGCAGGAAACAGGACACACTGGGGAGCAGGTGTGGTGACTGGGTGATTCTGGAAAGGGTTAAAGAAAGAGACCCAGTAGGCCCAGGGCACACAAGCCACTGGTGATGACATAGAGGGAAAAACTACTCACACTCAGTTTCTCTACTTTTCTCTCACAACACAAGTCACATTTGTGATCTCATCACTTGCAGATGTTTTCTCCACCAGATGTGCAAAATCCCATCTCCAGTAAACATCAGTCCTGGTTTACACTGACCATCTGGAGAACCTCAGATCACATAGGGAGAAGCCTTTATTCCTACTTTTGTTCTGGCATAGTTCATATGCCAGTGACAACCTCCATTTTACTTTCCCTGTGCTCCTGAGCCACCAACTACGTACTGAAATTTCAACAATCCCCTTCTTTGATTCTATTACTTTGCTTGGGAAGCTCACCAAACTCAAGGAAACGTTTATGTTTACTGGTAAAAACGAAGAGAAATTTCCTCTCTGCCCTTTGAAGTTTCCCTGGAATAACTGACTAAGCTAATAAGAGAAAAGCATAAAAATTTGGCATGGGAAAAGAAAAAAATCAGACCTTTCTCACTGCTCCAAAATTATTCAGAAGGTTATACATCCCATTTCTAAAGGTACAATATACTGCATGTACCTCATATGAACAGTTTGGGGTGAATAGCAAGTCATATTAAGGCAAGCTCATGGAGCTTGGAGAACAATGACTTGGGACAACTGGTTGCCCTCTAGAATAGAAAGTCATTTTGAAATGATTTCATAGAGGACTGAAATATAGGTTAGCAGTGTTATCAAAAGTGTGCCCATGTGTATTAACAGACTTGAGTCTCTTTCTAACATAGGAATTTAGTTAGTGAAAATTAGTGATGGTCCCAGAGGTAAATGTCCCCTCCCTGGGCATCCTTCCAGTTCTTAGGAAAGGAGATACCAAAGGAAAGTTGTTTTCAGCATGTGATGTTTCCTGAGCTCCTTTCATTAAACATAACCAACATATTAGGGTACCACCTTTTGGAGTGACAATACATAGATTCCTTCATTGGTTATGCGGAGGATATTGCAAAGGCTACAGATGAAGAGGTTCACAGTTGGCAACATGGGAGGAAAAGCTGACCACCTCCAGAAACCTTCAAACATTCATTGACCACTCAGCACTCAGGAACCCTACCCCTCTGGGTTTTTGAGAAGGTGTCATTGCAGAGCCATGGATGAAAAGCAGACACCTGAGTAGAAATGTGATTGTATACAAGCAGGTTGATCCAGTCCAATACACTAAGTTGGGAAACTCAAGAAGACTTGTGTGTTTGCCTTTTTATCATTGTTTCATTGAGGATAAGAGGCAGGACTCCTCTGAAATTTGGATTCCTACTATAGCTGCCATAGAAAGGGGTGTGAGCCAGGAACTGTGGAACAACCCCCCCACAATTTTATATAAATATATACATGTCATAATATCATATCCCTTTCTTCCTTCTAATCCATTATGATAAACATCTCATGTCCCCATCACCACCAGGAAAAGTTGAAAGAAAATGCAAAGGTCTAACCTGTTAGATTGTTAAAAAGGCAGATGAAGGAGCCTGGATGCCGGTTCTCTTATTTGCCAAGGCAGGACTGGAGTTTTATATGCTGTGACATCTAGCTGAGTTTGATCATCAAGAACTCTTGTTGTTGGCTTCTCATCACATGATGATATTGGTTTGGGTAACAAGCAATTTGCAAATGTTACATCATTAGTGTCTATTTCCAAAGACCTGCATACCAATTGTTGTGGATGTGTGGGAGATTTGGGGGAAAGCTCAGTGACAGGTAGTTATGGAGAAGAGAAGAGTCTTGAGCTAAATTATATAAAATATATTTCTGAATCACATGAAAATAAGTTCTTTCTCACAGTTCTCAAAAACAAAATTTCTCAATTTCTTATGATATTGAAGGCAGTTTAGCTGGACTGGACTCTTCAAGTCAGTACATTCAACTAAAGAAACATTGAATCAGCAGTTTCTAAGGAAGAAATGATCAATACATACACAAACTGTGAAGAACACCTTATTTATTTCAGAGGTCACAACTACCTCTTTACTTGCATGTTCATAGGCCCTTGCCCTGCACAACAGGACTATGAAGTAGCTGGTCCCCAGTCCTGGAAGAGAACGGTCACCATGTTCTTCTTCGAACTGACTGTTGTGGCTGGAATTATAAACCAGACAAGCTGCTGGCTCCACAGGCACCTCTTGAGAACACTACATGAATCTTGGGAGTTTAATGTGGGTAAGCTTATCTTAAAGAAGGACAGCAGGGGATCTGGTGCACCTGGATACACATGAAAGAGTTGCCCATACTGAATATATTGGTGAAGTGGCCTTTGTCATGGACCAGTGAGAGAAAGTGTATCTTATCATGTTGAAATTTGGAGATTTGATTAGTTGAGGCCAGCAATGCTGTTAATCTTGGAGAGGTTTATGTATTTGTTTTTTAAGTCTGGATACTTATATATTTGTTTTTTAAGTCTTAAACATCAGGCAAAGTGCCTGTCCTCGCCATTCACTGGAACTGGCTGCACAACCCTGGAGGAATTGTCTCCATGGATATATGGCGTGAGCTGGTATGAAGCACAGTGCTGTGTGCTTGGCAAATAGGTAAAGGAGAGATGGAGAAACCGGCACATTTTCTCACTACATCAGTGTAAAAGCTGATTTTGTTTTCTACCTGTGAGTAACCCACTTTCCTGGGGTTATTTATTTTGCAAATTAAATTATCATTTTTGACACTTTGCCAGGGCAGTGAGGCAAGAACAGGAACAAGTTCTTAATACAAAGTCTTCACATGCAGGGTATGGGTGGAACTGGAGCTCAGCAAAGACTCAGGGGTGAGAGCAATTGTAGGTCAAGATGACTACTATGGCTGCCAATCTGTCAAGGCCCATTTATCTGGCTGCTTTGGGCAGTTGCCCCTTCAGAGACTATGAAGGGACGGGGCTGGGAAAGGATCAGGCTAGGCTTGTCAGGTGTACACTGAGCAAATATCCAGTTGAAACTGACAGAAGTATCACATTAGGTTTTCAAATGACGAAGCTCTGTTGCTCTATGGGTTGATGCAGTGGGACTCATGAACATGACTTCAGAGCAGATGGATGCTGGCCAAGAGAGCCACTGTTCAGTGCTGCTGCAGCCCTGTGTTAACATGGCTCAGCAGTGTACGGAGAGTTGATCCTGGATTTGTTTGGGCAGTGGAAGATATGAGTGTGGGATGTGGGGAGAAAAGCAGACAAGATCTCAGGATCACAGACACGGAACATCCTGGAAGATTCAGTGACTGTGCAAGGGCTAGAGGCCCAGAGGTTGTAGGAGGTTTTGTCCAGGGTGACTGTGAAGGGGCTGCTCAGGGGCACCCTAAGGTCTTGGATCAGGTGCTGGGAGCAGAGAAGCAGAGAGGAGTCAGGACCTTGCAGGTACACTGTGTCCTGAGGGATTTCCAGCTCCTGGGGCAGGAGGATGAAGGAATGAGAGGACATGGCTTTTGCTTTTCTGAGGGCAGAGGAAGAGAGAGGGTCCAGTTGTCCTTCTCTTGCTGAGGGTCTGCTATGCTGTGCAGTGAGCAGGGCAGAGTTTGGTGTTGAGTGACAGTGTCCTTGAAAGGCTCTGGTGCATCTGGCTGTCTGTCCTCTTGAGCAGGCACTCTCTATTGGCCCTCCCCTTTCTATTGTCTACTGATTGTCTAATAACTTAAAACCAGCTCGGAAACACCCACAGCTGAATGCAAGAGTGACAGGATGCTGTGTGCAAGTCAGCATTCATTTCTGCTGTTGAACTGTCCTCAGATGTCAGACAGGCATGGGATAAGTTTTTGGTGAGTTCCTCTTTGGCTACAGGCTTGATCCTTTACAGTCCTCTGAGGGGTACGATGTCCCTTGATGGATGAGGTGCTGGCTGCCATTCAGGTTGGTAGAGGACAAGAAAACCACACTCCAGATGGCCTTGCCTCACACAAAGAGCAAATATTCAGGTTCAGACTACGTATATATTACCAGGAAACTGAGCTGCACCCACTTGGGGAAACCAGAACACTCAGAGCTCCTCACGTGTGCCCACAGCATTCCAACGGTCTTAATTCCAATTAAGTCATCTTGCAGGAGAGGAAACACAGGGAAAGTGAGGAGATCTGCTTTACTCTCAGGCAGAGTTGAGGTAAAAATTCAGGAATTCCTTTGGCTCCTCTGCTTGCCAAAATCATCTGCTTCTGAAACAAGAGAAAACTTTCCTTGAGTTTTTGCCCTCCTTCTGCCTTCTGAGATCCCTTCACCTGCAGCTCCTTTGTTATTAACCATGAGGAGTTGCCTGTCCATCCCTCATATTGGTGTCAGGTGGGAAGACTGGGGCTGAGGCAGGCAATGTGCTGCTGAGACCTACCCTCTGCTTTTTTTCACCTGCCCTATTAGCTCTTTTTTTAGTAGCTTTGTATTAACGCCTTAGCACTGTAATCTCACTGTGACTTTGAGGATCCATGAGACTAAGCCTCTTCTTAACCCTTCTCAGAGGAGGTAGGAAATATTAAGTCACCTTTCCAGATAGGACCAGAGTCTAGCTGTGTCTTTTTTAGCAGACACACCTGACAAATTCTGATGTATTTGCCAAAATCTTGTTCATTCTGGCCTAGAATATTATTTCTTATGCATATCTTTCCTTCCTTCTTTCCATAAGTATATATATTCTCATTCTGAGCCACATGTGGGATACAGCTGTGCACAAGTGTTCAGTACAAGTCATTCATAGTGCTCCCCAGAGTCCAAGAATGACTGTTGTGACAAAAATGTTAATGAGAAACTACTGGATTGTTAGAGAATAGTACAGGGAAGCCCTACTCCCCCAAAGCAGACAAACTGCTGGCCCCACAGGCACCTCTTGAGAACACTACATGAAACTTGGGACTTTAATTTGGGTAAACTTATCTTGAAGAAGAACAGCAGGGGGTCTGGTGCACCTGGATGCACATGAAAGAGTTGCCCATACTGAATGTATTGGTGAAGCGGCCTTTGCCATAGAGCAGTGAGAGGAAGTGCATCTGGTCATGTTGAAATTTGGAGATTTGATTAGTTGAGGCCAGTGATATTGTTAACCTTGGAGAGGTTTTACGTATTTGCTTTTTAAATCTGGATACTGACTAATTACAGTGAGTCCCAAGAATGTTAAATTTTTACACTTAGAATGGATTTTATGGAAGACCTTCAGACAGGGAAGTCTTGGGAAGGGGGCTGAGGCAACAAATGAGGTGACCTAAACCAGGGCTGGGTTACCAGTGACAAAGATGACATATTGTTGTTGTGTCAAGAACACACTTTAACAACACACATTAAAACAACACATTGTTGTTTTAATTTGCATCTGTCAAATGTCTTGGATGTAGAATGCATAAGACCAAGTGTTGAGTGGGAGGAAGACTTGGAGATAACATCCAGTTTTGTGTCTTGTGAAAGTGTGAGCAGGGTACTGCTGTGATTAGGTCCAATTCTGACTAAATTCCTGTTCATTCTGCCAGGGCCTGGCTCTCTGGACACTGGTTTCCATTTCTCTAACAGAACATATTCTGTATGAAGCCTCTATTTCCTGCAGTAATTCTTGAAGCATCCTCTGCCTCTCTTTCAGTCCATCCTACAGAGTGCTGCCACAGTAATCTTCCTAGGAGGGTGAAGAGAAGTCTTTACTGTTTACAGGTTACATCAAGTAGTGCTTTACTTCTGTCTTCTGACTAGTTTTTTTCTTTCTTATACCAGGAATCAAACTCAGGGTCTCATGCTTGCCAGACAGCTGCTGTGCCTCTGAGTTATATCCTTGGACCTATCTTTATTTTTTTTCTTTTTCTTATTTTAAATAGAGAAAAAAATAAAAATACCAAACAGAGTTTCAAAACAGGTTAGTAGGAAAGTTACAATAATTAATGTATTGAATGTTGTTTTCATAGTAATTATTGAGAGTACAAGATATATGCATGATATCTTGTCCAAACAATATTAGCACAAAACTTTATTTCAATGAACTAAGAGAAATTAGATGTATAACTCTCTTAACTATCTTGTGTATAAGTATATTCTTTCTTTTTTTCCTTTATTCCTTTCCCCTTTCCCCATCACAGTTTGTCTTTTCTTTTTAACAGTTTCTTCCCAATTCACAATATCTCTTGTATATTTCAGATCTTATTTACTCGTTCAGTTTCTCTGAAAGAGAAAATAAGAGACAATACAATATTTACAAATACAGGTCTGACTTCACTTATGAGTAAGGTCTCAACTTGCACCCACTTATAAAAGTCTCTAGTTTATACTTCTTTATGGCTGAGTAGTACTCCATTATAAAACCTCACATCTTTTTTATCCATACCTCCATTGATGGGCATCTAGGTTGTTTCCAAGATTTAGCTATTACAAATTATGCTGTTATAAACATGGGTGCACATATATTGCTGTGGTATGATGTTTTCAATTCTTCTGGGAAGATACCCAGAAGGGAATGCCAGGACCTCTACTCCTAGTTTTTAAAGGAATCTCCATACTGATTTCCACAGTGGTTGCTCCAGTCTACACTCCCATCAACAGTGGAGAAGGTTTCCTTTTTCCCCGCAGCCCAACC